ACGGAGTGGCCTAGTCTCGCGCTCTCGCGACCGAGACTTCCATCGGTCTGTCGGGTCCCATCCCCCTCTGCCTCCCTCCGGAGTAAGGGTAAGTAAGTATTGGGGAGCTCACAACCTTCTGTCCGGTTTAACTTGGCACCTTCCAACTGTATGTGCACCGCCTCCTTAATCTTCCTGAGTGGGTTGCGAGACTCTTGGTCTATGATTTCAATAATGTCAGAGATGGGCCTGGTAGTGATGTTGTGACCAGCCTGGAGTTGGTGTTGTTTTAACACAAATTTGCAGTCTTTCTGCTGTAGTGACTTTTGATGTCCAGAAGTCCTTTCCCCAGTGACCGCTCAGTTTCACCCACGTAGACCTCCCCGCACTCACTTGTAGATCACACCGCACTCCTCACTAGGTGATAGAAGGTCCTTGTGTCTGACCAGGGCATTGCGTAAGGTGAAGCCCGGTTTGGAGTGCAGGCTCACATTATGTTTGGCATATACGCGTTTCAACCTCTCCGTAACTCCATGTATATAGGGTAGTACCAAGTAACTCGCTGGGAGTTGTTCTTGTTTTCCGATCTTACTCTGTTCCTTGCTACTTTTGTCTTTTCTGGAGTTGTTATCTCCCCCCCCCCCCCTGGAGGTAAGAGGAGGTGGGGCCCAGCAGACTGATGCAAGTCTCGAGCGCGAGATTAGGCCATTCCGTGAACAAGATGGACTGATAGCCATCGAAAATTTCAAGGTCAGTGTCCTTATCCTTCCAATTTGTCACTGATGAAAGAATCCCCTAGTAACTAAAAATATTACTCGCTTTTACAATATTTAATGTTGAGTTTCAGTGGGTGTGTGGATTGTATTCTACATCAATATTTATATTTCAATTCGATGACATGAATAGTGAATAATGAACAAAATCATTCATGGTGAACATACGAGACCTTTGATGTTTCTATGCCATTTTACCGCATATTTGGAACAAAATTGTGCATCACTAAGACCTAGTCGGGACAGTTTCCTGCACTCTGCGTGGCCTTCGCTTTCGGAATAATTTGACTCGTAAAATCTCTGTTCATGTGAATTAACTTGCAAAAAGACCGACTGCGTACAGTACGCCCAAGAAATCTGCCTGGAACTCTCGACGTGGCTTGGCGGATAGGTACGAAATGCGAAGTGAGAAGATAGCTCTCTGACGACGGTTCGGGAATGCGACTGAACTTACTGTAAAGAACAATGGCTTGTTTCTGTCGGCCTTTGCGCGACTTAGCCTTACCATGATCAGAAGTAATAACTTGTGATGCGTATCGCGCGGACTACGTTCGTCTAAAACAAAAACAGTGTGCTTACGTAGACCGAGTACAAAGATTTAATAAAAACTTGTTCACCTATCGCTCATGTTCTGAATGGTTCACACTGCACAGCACAGGTGCCACTGCTTATAGAAACGCATCTAAAGTGCATCTAAATACGGTCCCATTGTACGTTGTACAATCACAGCATATTTACATGTACGTTTAAGAGCATTTTTATGGCTTCACCACACCACGAAGTGGTGTGGTGAAACCATATTGCTTTTTCTGATGTTTCTCCTTCTCCTCCTCCTGCCATATCTTTAAATGGATTCAGCTTCTTCATTTTGGGGCCTAAGGACCTTAAATTTTGGTATGGAGGTACAGTGGGCAAATACCCCCAGGCGTTTTTTAAATTTTGGTGATACAGGCTTTTAGAATGGTTTTATTTGAGCTTTTTGGCTGTGTTATAGCAAATGTATTACTGTGCTGTGTACCACGTTTGGGCATGAGTCATCACAATGGAATGCAGGGCATCAACCAATAGGCATGCAGCTTTCCTCTATTCTTCTTGCTGATTGGCTGTTGGGATTTAACTTGATTAACACTCGCACAGAGCATTTCCACCTGCACAGAGCATTTCTTGCTGATTGGCTGTTGGGATTTAACTTGATTAGCACCTGCACAGAGCATTTTCATACTGACAGTATGTCTGTATTCAAGTGTTTTGGTAGGTATTTCAAGCTTTCCTGCTCCAGCATTGGAATGCGGGGCATGAACGTTTTTTTTATTTTGAAAATCAACAGTTTGCATTATGCAATTAAAAATCCTAACCAATAAAGTAGGGAATAGCTATCCAACTGTTGTATTAGTTGTATGTTACTTCATATTATAGTTATATCAATGTAAATCATTGTTTTCCCTTGTGTTTCTCATTCTTTCCCTACCATGTCGTAAAATGTGGTGAAGCCATCGCTGTATTTGCTCCTAAGCAAATATTGGCCTTTCTAGTTTTACTATTAGAGTACCATCTGAATATTAAGCGATCATGCGATGATTATACGTAGATTATGCGTTACAGAGGACCGGCCTTTAAAGCACGTCTGATCATTGGGTGACCCTCCCCAAACGATTTGAACTGGGTCAACTTTATTCAGACCGGGCTATTTGGTGATCCTGGGGATACTGTACTACTAAACTTTCAAGGGGTTAAGTCATTACAAAAGGTCACTTCTAACATGATGACCAATGTTACCTGTGTACGCATGTATACCGTAACCCAAAAGTTCTACCCCAACCTCAATTCTTTATTTATTACCTCCACATGTTGGTGTAGAGCCAGTCCAAGTCCCGTTCGGCTGGCAGGTTATATTGGCAGTCCCCCTCAGCGGATACCCGTCCATACAGGTGTACCTGACTGTCTGTCCTGATGTAAAGTTACTGTTGTTATCCCTGTACCCATTGGCCGGCACACCAGGATCCCAGCATTGACCTGCAGTACTGCCTGAAACAAAACAATGTGAAGGTATGGATTTCCTTCCTTTGCCATTTATCATATAATTATGTGAACATTTGTATTATTTTAGTCTATTAATATCCTACTTCCTATACATTATATAGATATTTTTTACAAACTATAAAAGTCTATAGTGTATGCTAATGCAATTTTCAAATTTCCTTATTAACCATGACAATCAAACGGTCATTTACATAATTTGCAATTTTTCCTATCTTCTGGACCTTAAAAAACTAATCATATATCGAAAATGATAGAAAACTGCCACAACCGCAGTTAGTATTAACCAGCATACTAAATTATATCAGTTACCTTGTTAATTTAAGTTAAGAAGTGTAACCAAAGATCTTACTTATGTAGGAAAACTGGAACCCCTGATGGCTCATAATCCCATCAGATCTAAACCTCAGGAACAGCGTGTTAGATGTGCTGATGATGGGGCTAATTTGCGAGTGGAAACCGGTTAACCTAGACAATATGGAATAATAAGGAAAATCAATATTTGACGCACAAACTATTGTAATATGTGTCTTATGTATCATGTTACTCAGAATGATGTACATGTACCATCACTTTCTGATGTATGCATTTAGCCCCATGGGCATGAACATGCAAATAAATAAATAAATATTCCCAGCTTGGGGGTAGTTTTCGTTATGCAGAATAAATCCAAGCGTTAAGAGTACCTTGAATACCCCATGTTGATTGGTTATCATTATACTTCCTGTAAATTTGATTCAAGGAGCATAAAATATATAACTTAGAACTTGTAGTGCCAGTGCGATGTTTGTTTTTAACATGACTGATACCTTTGGAGTCAGTTAACATCAACATTTCACATTAACAGTTAACATTAGCAAATCAAGAATCAATTCGCCCAAGCTGACAATAGAAAATATGATCACGTGTAAAGCTAGTAAACCTTTCCTAAAGACCAACACGAACATTTTCAATGTACTGAAGTCATACCCCGACTCCATGCTTACGTATTTAGGCCTAAATATATATATAGTGCCTTACAGAGGAGAGAAAGTCCTGTACCAAACGTAACGTACACCATGTCAATCCGTCATTTCCGTTTTTTTTGTACTGTGTAGTAGTTTTTTAGAATAGACCTATCATATTGCTCACATTGTCATTGTTGCCAGCATTGTGCAATGTACAACTCTCGAGCAATAAAGTTCATTCATTCATTCTAACAATAGTGTTCAGTCTGTAACAAGAGTTCCGAGATCTCATACCTCCATGAAATATGGACTTGCTTTGTCCTCATTAATTATGCAAATAACATCTACATTAACATAATACATGCATAGCGATGCAAACCTTTAAGTAACTTACACATGTTACGAGGTATAAAATTCCCATCATTCAGCAATAAGGATTCACAGAATTTTCACATTAATTATGCATATTAGGTCATCATTTGCATAATTGGTATCTGTTGATGTTCCGCCTGCCACAGATTAAATAGATTACATGTATAGCAGTACCATTATATGAAACACTGTAATTATAGAATTTCCTCATTAATTATGCAAATTAAGTCCTCATTTGCATAATTTGCATTTAATCATGTACAACTGTCTCTCAGGTACCTACACACCAAAAATGATGAAAATACGTTGTTCCAATCTGGACTCATTGGCTTTTAAAAGTTTTTACCAGAAACTAACCTGCAGTTCCAGAACAAGCTGCTAGGGGGACCAAACTTGCGCCACTTATTCCTGACAGGATAAGCTATCTGTCACCAAAAAGTCAAGACCATAGCTTGTTCAGGACAAAAGATACAAAAACCGGAAGTTCTGCTGCAGTACCAAGGTCATCCACCAGGAGGCCCATACTTGACCTTGACCTTTGTCTTTCCAAGACTTACCATCATACCAAATATCATCACAATCCATAAAGGCGTTCTGAAGTTATGCTGACTACAAAGTTGCGGAAACACAGACAGACACACAGACACACAGACACACAGACACACAGACAGACAGACACACAGACAGACACGCCAAAAACAATACCTCCATTTTTCATGGAGGTAATTAAGTCAATTTTCTTCTATCGCAACTCGTACTTCACAAACCAACGAAAACGTCTGATTATATAGGATTTGATTTGTGTGTGTGTGTTTTGTATGTATTAATGTTTTGTTAGTCTACTGTATAATTATGGGCCAGTAAGTGCCTGAAACAAATAAATAATAATAACCTTTTTATCTTTGCAGCATTATCACTGGCTCCATCGTAGATGGTGAGAAAGTCCCAACGTTCCTCAGTGTCGAAGCTGTCAAACGTGAGGCGAATGATGCTTCCTTCTGGTACAGCGATCAGCCACTCACAGTTCTCATTGTAGCCATAGTCACCAGGATAGTTGGGTGACGTCACGGGGCCTCCAGAAGGAGCCGTCAGGTTCCCTCCACATCCGGTGACGCTGGTTACTGTGGAATGAGAAATAACATCATCAGGTGCAGGTAACGTCACGTCACTATGTAAGCGTGAAGGGAGGCTTTGTTTCATACAGAGTTACTGGGTCTATACATATTTATTCAGTATATACACGGTGTGGATTTAAATATTGTTTTCACTCATTTATTCTTCCCTTTCTTCTTATAGACCCTGTTATTTTCTTAAATGAATTCAATTTCTACATTTTTAGGTTACATCACTTGAAATTTGGTACAAAGGTATAGAGTGGACAAATAGCCCCTGCCTTTTTTATTTATTCTATTTAATATTCTTTTGATGCAGGATTTAGAAATGCCATAGATTTTTTTATTTACTTAATAGTTCACCCCAAAACAAGGATCAAGTGAGCCACTTAAATGTTTTGGGTTACTGTACAGTTACTGAGAACAGATGTTCGTTGACCTTAGACTTTTAAGGTTAAACCTATGTCGGAATAAAATCACGTGGTAGCTTGTTCCATAGTGATGTTGTTGTAGGAAAAGGCTTTCAGTGTGGAACTTCCTCCTAAGAGTTGGTGTATGGAGAAAGAAAGGGTGATTTGCTTCAGTGTATGTGGCAAAGCGTGTTCGTGCTCAGAATGTTCGAGGTGGAGGCACCAGCGAGTAAAGTTCAGCGGATCTATGGGCTATTTTTCGACAAAAGTTCCGTATTGCTACGCTGAACGTTAGAGGGATTTCACAGATTACAAAGCGACAGGAGTTAGATGAACTGCTACCAAAGAAAAGTGTAGATATGTGCTGTCTTCAGGAAACCAAAGTCGCATCGGAGAAACCCATTGCACTGAGGCACAGCCACCTACAGCTACTGGGCCAGGAGCAAGGCTACCACCGTGGAGAGGGATCTGGGTGAGTCGCCGGATGATGAAGAGGATCCAGGGATACAAATAATTTGGCGACCGTATCTTGGCGTAAAAATCCTCTTCAAGCAAGAGAAATCCCAACCCCTGGTTGTAGTCGGTGCATATGGGCCAACTAGTCAGACCTGCGAGAAAAACCCCACGCTGAGAGACTGGTTCTACTCTCAACTGTCGGCCGCAGTTGACTTTTACCCCTCACGGTCCCTGTTCTACCTGGCGGGGATTTCAATTCCTAGTTGGGAGCAGGCAAAGTTGGCCAAGAAGTTGGGCGATGGGGAAAGGGACGACAAAACGAAAACGGCAAAAGCCTACTAAACTTTTGTCAGCAGCATGGACTAGTGGCGCTTAACACGCTATTCCAACATCACCCCAAGCACATCACCACATGGGAGTCCAGCTTCAAGACTGACAACAACAGAACTGTACGAAATTGACTTTGTACTAGGGCGAATCAAGCAGAGACGTACAGTCACACATGCACAAGCATATCACGTTCCGGAGATCAGCACTGATCACCGTATGGTAGTCGCCACCATCTGCTTGCCTCAAAAGGCGTGGTTCTCCAACACATCCACACGGACGAAGGCGATCAGGTTAGACGAGATCCGAAACGACAAGGGCAAGCAGGAGGAGTGGAGATCAGTAGTATCGGCAGCACAAGAACCCACTACTTGGGATGAAGCGGCATCCATGCTTGTAGAACAGGGAAGGAAGATACTAGGCACGGAACAGCGTAGTAAGCGCACACAGACCTACTTCACGGACAACCCACAAGTTGCACAGATGTCAAAGCAGCAAAAGGACCTACGACGTCGTATACAACAACTCAAGAGAGGGATAGTGACCCGTGCTACACAGGACATAGTTAAAAACCTCACTGTGCAGAGAAGGAAAGTGCAACACGAGCAAGAGAGTACGTGAACTGGTCACTGCTGGGCTTCACGCTCAAGCAGCAAAAATAGACGACAACGCAAGGACGTTCGCCGCCATGAAGGACCTAAGGTTTAGTGGCGGAGATCCTCTCGCAGTTCGTCCCTCTAGCGGTGAAACGCTCGTTAAACCGCTAGACCAGGCCAACATCATCTCAAAACGCTTCGAAAGTCTCTTTAAGTTTAACATCGACGCAGCGCCTCTTCCTCCGTTTCAGGCTGCACCCCTGCGCAAACCAGTAAAAGCTTCAGAAGTTGCGCGGGCAGCTTCACGACTGAAGAACGGACGCAGCTTTGGGGCAGAAGGGGTCGCAAAGGAACTTTTGAAGTATTGCTCCTCTCAGTCGGACGATCCAATGGCTATCACGATAGCGAACATAATAATTGGAATGTTCAGCAAAGGAGAGGTAATAAAGGCCATGGGTCAAGGCGTTCTTATCCCTCTACAGAAACCAGGCAAACCGCGAGGTCCATGCAACAGCCTCCACCCGATAATTCTGCTGAACGGCATTAGGAAACTCTTTTCTGTCATCGTGCTGGAATGCTGTAAACCTCAGGTAGATCTCTATCTGCCACGCTCACAGTCCTCTTATCGACGGGGCCACAGCACAACCGACATCGTTTTCACCAAGAGAATCTCGACTGACTTGGTCATGACGAACGTGTGGAACCTTCACATTCACCCGATTCTAGGTATTGATCGCAGCCGTGCCTTCGACACCGTGGACAGAGCTCAGCTCATATCGGTGCTGAAGGACGTGGTGGACGACGATGACATAGTGAGAATGGTGCATGCTCTCTTGACAGACACCACCCTCGCGGTACGCGTCCGAGGAGAAGCAGCCCCTCCGTTTGAAGCAGTTGTTGGCTCACCTCAGGGCGACAGTTTAAGTCCACAGCTCTTCAACATCTACTATGAGGCAGCCCTCCGTGATCTGTGTAAGACCTACCCACCAACCCCTGTCGAAGACAATTCGCCACCAGAGACCCAATATGCTGATGACCTTGACTTCATCAGCACATCTCACCAACATCTAGAGAACATACACGAGCAGGCGATAAATATCCTACCAGAGTGGAAGTTACAGGCCAACGCCTCCAAGACTGAACGGATACATATCTGTTGGAAAAGTGAGAGGGAGGAGGAGACATGGAGAAAAACGGTCACTGGGCTCCCGGCTAGGCATCGCTGACGATATCGACGCGATAATGCAGTTGGCCAACGCAGCAGTTAAGAAGATGTGGTACATTTGGGGAGCACAACCAGCCTCCCTTGAGCTAAAGCTTAAACTGTTTGACGTTTACATCCTACCTGTAATGCTTTAGAACTGTGGCTCATGGGGGCTAACGGAACAGTTAGCCAGCAAGATCGACGCTTGGCACAGGAAGCAGTTAAGACGCTTAGCTGGATATTTCCACCCATACCACATTAGGAACACCAAGCTGTACAAGATCTGCAACTATTGTCCACTTCAAAATGACGTCCACCATCGCAGATGGACTCTCTCTGGGCACATCCTTCGCAAGCCACCTGACTCTCCCGCACAAAAGGCCCTCAACATCGCTTTTAGCAAAAAGCTCTCGTCAAGGAAAGGCAGGCCCCGCGGAGGTCTTCTAAACTTCGTACGGAGGGCCGGGGGTAGCGTACGAAGTACGAAGTTGTACGTAGTTATGACGTAATCTAACTTCGTACGGAGGGCCGGAGTAGCGTAAGAAGTATGAAGTTGTACGAAGTTATGACGTAATCTAGTTTCGTACGGAGTGCTGGGGGTAGCGTACGAAGTACGAAGTTTTACGAAGCTATGACGTAATCTAACTTCGTACAGAAGGCCGGGGGTAGCGTACGAAGTACAAAGTTGTACGATTTTATGACGTAATCTAGTTTCGTACGGAGTACTGGGGGTAGCGTACGAAGTACGAAATTGTAAGAAGCTATGACGTAATCTTACTTAGTACAGAAGGCCGGGGGTAGCGTACGAAGTACGAAGTTGTAAAAAGCTATGACGTAATCTAACTTCGTACAGAGGACCGGGGTAGCGTACGAAGTACGAAGTTGTACGAAGTTATGACTTAATCTAACTTCGTACAGAGGGCCGGGGTAGCGTACTTGGTGTGGAGAGGCTGGTGGGTTGTACACTGTGCAAGTGACCACCTCTGATAATCCCCTCGGCAAACGTCTGGGTCGTACCGAGACCCATAAACATTGTAACTCCTGCGGTACTGACATGTCGTGCATAATCGTAGCTGGTAGTGAGTCCTTGACATAGAGGGTAACACATCCCCCTCTTCTATATGGACGACATTTGGAGAACAAAGTATATCCATCTACGGATAGGCACATCTCAGGCATGTCAGGTGTAAACCATGACTCCGTCACAGCTGCAGTTCCTACGTCATGCCATAGCAGGATGGTTTGGAATTCGTCTAGCCTATTCACCAACGATCTAGGGTTACATAACAAAAATGTTGGGTGGTTTGACTGTCGCCTCTTGTACACACGCACCTAGTCCAAGTTTTTCAACACTTTCTCCCTGTGAAAGAGAGCCTGAAAGGACCTGTAAGGTGTTTTGTGACGATTTTCGATCACAACAGGAATCGGCCTCACAACGTTCTTCTCACCTCTGCATCCCCTAGCATGAAAAGTCTTTTTGATCCCACAATCGAGAATAGATTTGAGTAACACCTGAGGGCCTGAATGGCTGAGGACGAGTAACGCAAGACACAGATTTAGTAATCTGTATGTCCGTAATATGTTGTTGTTGTTGTTGTTGGAGATACATGTCCTTAAGACGTTGGTTGATGGAATATATAATTTGGGGCAAATTAAAGGTAGAAGACAAGGACGAAAGCCACACATAGGCAAAACCGCTCTCCTCTAATGTCTTACGAACACCAGCAGCCGAGCATTTGGCACCTGCCGTATCTAAATCAAACTGGCACAACAGGGCGCCTGCAGAGTTACTGTCAGCTGGCACGTTCTGGCGTATTCTGAGGTAGTGTTAAATGGTGTTGAGTGACGCTTCTAACCTCATGGGATATCTCCCTAATTCAGCCATCACAGCAAGGTTACAAGAATATTTGGGCACATTTAAAGACTGTTTGCAGAATTGGGGATGATTTTTGGACTTTTGAAAGATCCCCATGTTTCAGGCCCATACAATAAAATCAGTTTTATGCAAGCGTCAAAGAGCTTGCTCTTGAAATTGAAGCATTGGCTTGATAAAGTGATTGATTAATTCCAAAGAGGACTCTCAGGACTTTGCTGTGTAAGTATTTGTTGTTTGCCTTG